ATGAAATGTTCGGTTGGTTGCTGACCAAAGGTTATTTACGGAACTCGGTTGCTGAAAAAGTGGTAGATACACTGTCACCAGAACGACCGTGGATTTTCTCTGGTAAGTTTGGTAAGTTTGACTTGACGTTGACGTGTTTTAGTTTTCGGTTTGATTCTTCGCTTTACAAATCACAATGAAAACAATATTCCCATTTTGATTATTACATCATCTGCTTGTGCTTACTGTGCACAAGAGTTAGGGACTTTTGGGTGCAATAATTGAAAATCGAATACTGGCAGGGCATAGATGTTCAAAAAACTATGATTCGACAAATGACTGGCATTCCGTGGATACCACAACCGCAGTCACCAGTTGATAACCACTGTCAAAATTGTTGGTACTGGCCCTGAAAGCATCGGTAACCTTGGTTGATTAACGGAACATATCCAATGTTCGCAGCAAGATTAGGGCAACATTCAACAATACATCCAATAATGGTATAAAAGCAACATAGTTTCCATAAAATCTATTCCCGATGCCAATCGCCCGCCAATGGTAACTGACGACAGATAATTCCGAAAATTCGTTAGCACAAAAGGAGACGGGGAAGCGACCGATTAGTCCAGTCATGCCTTCCAAGGTACATCTCGAAAAAACACGATCAACCACTCTTTGACTTCCGTCTTCGCTGAAATAAACACCCACCTCATGGCTCATATCCGCCCAACAACGGCAGTACGTTCCAACGGACATAATATAAACCTGCTAGCTACCAGTCGATGAGATAAAGAAGAATCAAGAACAACGGCAGGACTAATTTATAGAAGTAATTTATACAACAAAAATGTCTCATTCAAGATAGATGGTAGGTATATAATTTACTGATGAATAGTTCCAACACAGGTGGATTACATCCTTACCTACCTATACCTACCTTATGACAAAGTGAATATAAGAATTACCAATCAATCAATCACATATATATTGTCGAAGATAAAGATATAAATAGAAATCCCAAGAAACACAGACATGATTATATAACAAATAATAATTATATATGTATCAAGGGCGTAAAATAGGCTCTTATGGATCGTAGCGTATAAGTGTAAAATAGCGTTTTCCTCTCGCCGATTTACAGAGCGCACTAGCACAGAGCAGTGGAATAGAAAAAGAGAGTTGGTGCGACCTTCTTGTGATCAGAAATGTCAGAATAACTGTTTTGTCAATCGAAAAGTTGAATTATTGAAAGTACAATTGGTTCCGTTGGTCCACATGAAATGGATTCATCTACCTCTTTTTGTGGTTTCCCTGTGAACACTGCCAGAAACCAGCCAGAAACAGTCTTATATTTATATATGACTGTTAATTATCAATGATGTTCAATTGAATCATTCGACAATAGTGATGTAGCATTGAAGTGTCGTTCACGAAGTTAGTATTTTTTATCATTACTGAATCAACAATCGAATATGTTTAACGATCTGAGTCGATCCATCTTGCAGTGGAGTGAAGATAATAGGACAGGAAGAACATCTTACAGTCAACTCCACCAAAACTATACTTTATTAAACATAGATGAAAAACCCAAAGTCATCTCCACAACTTTTATTGAAATGATCAAAGATCATCAATGGTACATGTTTCGGGCTTATATAAGCCCATCGTCAGCCGATAAAATAGTTCAAAGTTATGGAAGTGAAAAAAGTTTAAATTCAAATAACGTGGACAATAACAGAGCAAACAAAGGCAACTGCTCCATGATTGTTAATGTAAAATTGTGTTTTTATAAAAAGTATAGAAATTTTAAAATTTTAAAAATTCTCATGAAATGGTCATTCGAGGGTCGGGTTCATATTTTATAAGGGCCCACGTACCCTTAAATCACCGAATGGCAATTACCCAAGAAAATATCAAACTAATGAAAAGTATGATGTGGCTTCGGAAATAACCAGCTATTTAGCTGGTTATTTCCTTATAAAATATGAACCCGACCCTCGAATGACCATTTCATAAGAATTTTTAAAATTTTAAAATTTTATACTTTTTATAAAAACACAATTTTACATTAACAATCATGGAGCAGTTGCCTTTGTTTGCTCTGTTATTGTCCACGTTATTTGAATTTCAACTTTTTCCACTTCCATAACTTTGAACTATTTCATCGGCTGATGATGGGCTTATATAAGCCCGAAACATGTACCATTGATGATCTTTGATCATTTCAATAAAAGTTGTGGAAATGACTTTGGGTTTTTCATCTATGAACTACACCACTCCACTTTGAGTTACCATGGACTTCTTCCAAATACTTTATTAAACATTGTTATTGGGACATGTTTAATACCTGCACATCTAAATAGCTTTCTTTAACTTTCAGATAATTTTGAATCTTCCCTAAACGCTGTTTTTTAACGTAGTACTTCTGTATCTCAATCATTTCTTCTGTTCAAAACAATTGATCCTCATAATATTCCTGTAATACAAACCGGTAGGGTAGGACTTCTCAAGCAGCATTAATTCAACTTCCATCTAATTCCTCTTGTTTGAGCAGGTGAATTATTATACGATCAAACGAACTCGTGAAGTCCGATCGTAATTTATTATATGAGGCGCTTCGTCCAATGAGATCACTTTATAATATACTTTCAGATTTTAAATCAAGGAATCGTAGATTGATACATTTTCAACACATAAACACATTTATTCTCTCAGGATAGCTTGTAACAACGATAAACGTTTATGAAATACAATATCGACAACCATCTCGTTCTGATACTATGATGCTTATGACCAAGTCCACTTCAATCTACTATCGCATTCCTATTGGTGGCCGCCAAGGTCATCAGATGACGTTGCGATGACATAAAAACTACAGGAAAACATGTCTAACTTTCAATGAATGTCATCACAACGTCATACAATGACTTTGGCGACCGCGATCGCTCTCGAAACACTAACTTGGTTTCTGCTACTTTTCCACACTGTTGGAAATGTGTTGTCACTTTCCTTTATGGTTGAAAGGATTTTGAATTCATCATGTTGTCAATGGTATTAGTTGTCAATTTGCAATTTAATGAAACAACTGGAAGCAGTAACAAAGCTATCTGAAATGACAAGATATTTTCGATTTTCCCTGTTGTATTTCAAACAATAGTGGAAAGTCAATTCAACAATAGCGATGCTTTCAATAAATTTAATCTTATATAGCTTCAAATAATTTTTAATACATTATTAGTTGGATGTTAATACATTATTAGTTGGATGCTATTTCATCGAATTATGTTCAAGATTTGTTAACAACTTTCTCAGTTTCAAGAATTATTCGAGTCTGGGTATAAACATTTTTTCGATACTTTCGACTCGATCTCTTTCGGAAATAATCATGAATTCGATATCGTTGGTGAAGGTGATGGAACTTGAAGAAACTCATCTCATTAGGTTCATAATAATCTAACCGTGAGGTTGAATCCGACTAACAAATGAATGCATGTGTTGAACTAGATTCATGAACAGATATAAAAAATAAAGATGTCGTGACATTGATCACTTTTAATTCAGGAGACATGACATCATATTATGGTTGTTGTGCGAATTCATGCGTCAGCATCAGAATATTTGTCATGTTATCCTTTTAGGGAGTTTGTTGTTAGGAGGCTGTAACCACTGAACATTCTGGTGGCAACACCCAATGGTAGGATGAGACACGTCTGCTCTCTATCTGGAACGATCTGGCCCAGACCACAGAATACCCAACTATTCTGTGCCCAGACGTCCTGATGATGTTCTGGAATGAACATTTTTATCCCCTCTTCAGTTATGACGACATTCTCAGTCTTCGCCAATGTGAAGGTCTGTAGGCGATGCCTGTGGTAGGGGTTAAAAGTGTTATAATATTCCTGGTTAATTTTTTCCAGGCCACTTCTTTATATAGGGCAAAAAATGGACGAGAATGTTAACACCTTCTGAGGATCCCATATGACATCAAATTCAGTTTTCTGGGGTCTAATATATAATTTATTTCTCTCAAAAAACGTTTTACCTGGGGAACAGTTCCTATATTTCCAAGTAGAATTGAAGAAAGAGCGGACCTAAATGAATTGAGCGTTCCATATTTTCGGGTATTATAATGTAGTGTTTCTTCAAGATAGCAGATCACTTGTGGGACTTTCTTTCCATAATTTGTTTCTGTAAAAGAGATCTCAGTAAACCTTTCATAAAGAAATAAAACGATATATCAGATACCTTAAGACTCGTATTTAAGCGCTAAGGAATTTGTAGCAGCAATTTTATTCCACCGAATCTCTTTATAAGCAATTCAGTGATAAACGTTGCTTTAATGTAGCCAATTAGCTCCATAAGTTGCCAGAATAAATCATGTATACAGCTTAAGGCGCACTAAGAGCTCCTCGTGTGTTACTTGGGCATGTATATTGAAATATCTCTTTTATTTTTAAACGAATAAAAACAGCGTTTCTTCAGGAATCTCAGAGAACATCAGGAAGCAGAAGAAGGTGTACACATTTTTAGGAGACAGGGTGTTCCTAAATGGCATGTATGTACATATATATCGGAGGAGGGAGCCTGTCTTATTTCAGGACTAACATTTCTTATAAATATGTGGCCTGATTTGATTCTGCTTGAAAATGACTGTATCAAAGGTGACCGCTGAACAAAAATTGGGAAAATTTCAATGGACTGCTGAGCTTCGGGTCTCACCAAATGAAATGAAATAGTGAAATCATTCGTCCAATCGGATTCTCGCCGTTAGGTGTCGAAACTATCCATTATTGGTCAAAACGACTCACATGTCCTTATCGTAACTACTGACATTTAATTGTAACTGTATTTTCGTGTGTAATGTCTGCTTTCCTCTCCTGAAAATGTTGTGACGCCCATGATCCTTATGGACGAAATTCATATCGATGCAAATGTATTATGTGATGTTGTAATCAGACATGTGCATCTGATAAAATCTCTGAGTTATCATTGCCACTTCTCTTCAAAATTTATCAAGGTCAGTTGAAATAAGTACCTATTTGATTTTGCATGATTCATCAATTCAACGATATATTCACTGGGCATTTGTTGTTTTATCAACAAGTGATACAGGTACCTTTATCATTATCTTGTCAATCACACAGTTAAAGTCGCACCATCATAAAACACGTCTCGTGCTCCAAACGTCCACCAAAATAATATGTCGGTACCGGAAATTAAAGATTTGGACGGACTGTTGCTTCCACACTTGGACAAGGGGAAGACTATAGTGGCCACCAATATCTCCAGACTCACAAGTCCCGGAGAAAACTACGGCAGCGAAATGCTTAAGGTGGATTTGACGTTGAAAGACGAAACTGGCTGTACCGAAGAGTTGAGCGTCGTTGCCAAAATGATACCGGAATCCGAGCTTTTCCAGGAATTGTTCAACGTACAAGTGAGTTTCAAGTTGGAGACGGCCTTCTACGATACGGTGGTGCCAGCTTTGCAGGAGTTCCAAAGGCGACGCAGCGCTACTAAAGTTATCGACAATTTCGCTGAGTTCTACGGAGCTAGGACGAGTTTGGTGGATGGAGCCGTGAATGAAGATGCCGTGCTTATTTTGGAAAACTTGAAAGTCAGAGGTAGGCTACAAAAAATATAGCGAATTGACATGTCTCACCACTTATTCCCTTCTCAGGCTATACCAACGTAGATCGCTATAAAGGTTTCGACCTTAAAACAACCCTGCACCTACTATCAGTCATCGCCAAATTCCACGCTGTACCTTTGGCCCTCAAACTTCAAGACATTGAAACCTTCAACCAAAAGGTCAAGCCCTTCTTCGCCTGCAACAACGCTCAACCTCCGAAACAGTCCATAGACATCTCCCTCATGTTGAAAGCTCTAGAAGCTAAAGAGTCCTGCATCCGCTTACTTCCTAAGCTAATCAAGTCTTTGGAATATGTTATGGTGGTTCCTACCGAAGAATTCAGAGAACCGTTCGCTACCATCACACATAGAGACTTGTGGAGCAACAACTTGATGGTAAAGTTCGAGGCTGGTGAACCTGTGGACAGCAAAATCGTGGACTTCCAAATGTACAGCTACGATACGCCAGTCATAGACCTCCTATTCTTCTTGCTGACTAGTGTGGAAACAGAGGTTCTCAAGGCGAATCTAGACCCTTTCTTTGAGCACTATCACCGAGCCTTCACGGACACTTTGAAGTCTCTTGGTTGCGATATCGAACCTTTCTCGTACGATAAATTCATGGAAGAAATTGCTGTGGGAGTTGAAAGAGAGTTGGGACATGCTTGTTTCATGTTGGGTTATGTGATCAAAGCCAAAACAGAATATACTGTACCTGATGACAGTTCTGATGGGCCACCAGCCACAGAACATATTTCTTTTGGTGAGGAGACTTTGGATAGAGTTTGGTGGATTTTGGAGGAGTGCGATAGACGGGGGTGGCTGAATTTCTAACATTTGGATTGTTTTCGAAACGATAAGTATCAATATTGAAATAAACTACTATTTCGATCTCATTTTCTCATCAATTCTTTCATTTTTTCTTCCGACAACGACCAGTGGAGCCACCGAATCAGTGGTAGATCATGACTATAGGGCTGGAATAAAATATCTATGCAAGAATAACGTACACGGTAAAAATTCGTATCGAGTGAAGCAAGCGGAAGCAAGTCTTTAAAATAAAAATGCACAATAAGATTCATCAAGAACTCAAATTTTGTTTAACTTCAATTGCCAATTTCTCATGGATATTTTCATGGTCATTTTCTGCGATACAAGTGCGATGGCACTTATCCCTCAACAGCTTTATTCATCTCCTCACTAATTATATATTTATTATATTTATTATTCATATATTTTGTTGAATAAAGGTTATTATTATCATTATTATAATGGATTACAAAATTATTTATCAAATGTTTTCTAACTGCAATGTTTTCATAATTGTCGTTGGTGTTGGAGATATCTAACGTAATTAATTTTGGTGCTTCTCCATATACTTGTTTATGATTGGCCTATTCGTTTGTCATGCTCACCCTGCTAAAAAGTGATGTAAGCAATATTTGATGTTCGTTCGTCCCGAGCAATTGAGTGTTCGTTCGACTGGATCAAGTTGCCATAGATCACTTGAAGCAGGATTTATTTGCCCCGCGGATTTTCAGGGAGCAGAAAAATATAATCAGATTGATCAAGTTAGATGGCAAATGAAAACAAAGTAAATGGCGAAATAGAGTAGAACCAAGGAAAATAAGGTAGGAATTGGTGTTCGTCTTAAATTTCTGGAGGTTATATGCCTCGGGGAATACCTCCCTTGGCAATGTGTTCCAGAGCCTCGCTGTTCGTTGGATGAACGAGTCTTTGGAAAGAGATGTTCTGCAGTTCTCCAAAGTGACCACGAAGGGGTGCAAAGCCTCAACTCGACGGGTTAATCTCGCTGCCAAGGGAGGAACAATTGTTGATATTTCAGAAGAGCATCGTCCATGAAAATATCTATAAAAAAGAGCCAGATCGCCAACTTTTCTACGGTGTTCCAGAGAAGTGAGTGAGTTTGTGAGCGAGGCATCACCCACGAGACGAAATGCCCTTTTTTTGACAGAATCCAACAGTTTCAGGGTATGTTTGGGTGCTGCACTCCAAATATGGGAACAGTATTCCAGGACATGTTCAAAAATGATTTGTGCAACTGCTTTATTGTGTTCGTGTTGAGCAGTAAATCAAGCTTTCTGTCTGTTCAAATCAGTGACGTCAGATTACGTGATCTTCATGAATCTTTGAGCATGTAGAGCTTTCCAAACGAACTGGCTTCTTGTGTTAGGTTAATCATGTTTCGCAAGTTTCTACCTTATTTGTGTTGAATTAATTACCACAATAATCATGTTTTTAAACTATTCTTCTTCTTCTTCTTCTCTGCACAGGTAAGCGGGTGCGTAGACCCCTGCACTCAGGCCTTCACAGGGGGTATATAATAAATGGTAGCGCACTTTACGAACTTAACGACAATTTTTTTCAACCACCTGTTTGACCAGAAGTGACCCCAACTTTTTGTTTTTTAATGTCACCCTGTACATTTATTCAGTCTATCTTTCTCGTCTTGAAATTCTCTATCCAACCATGTATCACAATGTGGCATTTATTTCTTTATTCGCTGTTGAATTGCTTTTTATTCAAAAAGAATAAGTTGGCTGTGACCTGTGACATGAATTCGATGATATATCGACACTTGGTAGGCTTTGTAATTTAAAGATCATTAGTCAACCGATATTATTCAGAATATTTTGATAGTCTGATCAATGTCTGCAGGTTGTCAATATAGTTTGTTTGAGTCAAGATGAAAACCTTCGAATATAACTCATGATATTGAGGAATCTAAGATAGGAACATATTTTTTCGAATTCAGCTACTCGTACAGAAACTATCTGTCTTCGAATTTTCGCCATGTACCTATCACATGATCTTCTCATTTGGAATAATAAAACTAAAATTGTTTCTCTCATACGATGATCTACAGGTCTATCAGTCTATTTTTTCATGATTATTTCACTTAGTAGGCGGTGTACCTACACAAAATGTTTTATGTGTTTGACAGTTAATCGATTGCATCAATAATTTTTCTTCTTCATTTGTGTGTTGATTAAAACTGCATTCCTGCATGTGTCACCCGGTATACCTACTGACAAAGGCAGATAATAATTCTAGTACGGAAAATAAGTTACCAAATTAACTGAATTAAACAAATCGAATAGATGGAACTGTGAATTGAAATTGTTAAATTATTTATGGCGATAGCTATCAACATTTTCACATATTATTATACCTCATCCACTGATTCGAAATCTGCAGGGTGATTATTACCCTCCACAAAAAAATTGAATTACTAAATCTAGGCCTGAAAATGAAATAATATGTTGATATCCATCGAGCTGAAGCATTTATTCGTAAAATTTATGGGTTGCGAAGTATTTATTTCCAAATAAATACATTTTTTGCCAAATTTTCGTTTTTTCATTAAAATACTTTTTTTCAAACTGCATTGAAAGTACCAAAATATGGAATCTCTTAATTTTGATGTTTGTGACCCTTGAAAAGTCCCTGTCACAGTTTACAAAAACGATATACAGGATGAACTTTTTGCTATAAACTGAACTATCAACATTTTTCAAGAACGGTCCTGGATTTTCCCGATTCTGAATGAGTCAGTCGATTAGAGAGTAGTAGCGGAATATTCCATGAAAAAATCAGACGAATCGAAGAAGCTGATGGAAAGTTATGACCAAAAGATGTTTTAGCCAAATCTCATAATTCACCCTATATATTGAAAAACAAGTGTAGAAGACACTTTCTGATGGACATTCGGTATTCCCCTCAGGGACCTCTATTCGTGGTAGGAGTATGTACGATTCCTCATGACTCACCCTGTATAATTGAGTTACCAGAAACGCAGAAACCCCAAAGATAACAGAAAGAACTGGAGTCAAAAAGATCTGAATAGGATTGAAGTGATGGCAAGTGAAGAAGATACATTATAGATATTTTAGAAAATGAAGAAATTTGAAAATATCCTGAGAGTAACAGCTTGAACATAGATGAACAAATAAGTAGAGAGAAAATTCCAAATTCTGAAAAAACTCAAAAAACTATAACAGTTTTGCAAGATATTACTTTGGAATCATCGAATACTTCTTCCCTATCTTCATATTTCAGTAGCCGTTTATATTTTCCTGAACCAATTGAGAAATAGTTATTTGTTTAACTAGACAGCAAAGTAGTAGATTGACTGCCGAGGCTGAATTCATAGCCGAGCGTAGCGAGGCTAGGAATCCAGCTAAGGCAGGCAATCTACTTTGCTGTCGAGTTGAACATATAATTTTTTCTCCGATTGTTCATAATGATATAGGAGGATATTGTAATTGCAAATCATTACAATTCCCACAATCTCTTTATTTTTCCTGTAGTGTTCAATTAAAATGAAATTTGATAGAAATCGCAGTTGTCCATGATAATTATAGTTTGACAATTCATGAAAATTCGGACATTTAAGCGAAAAAATATTGGTATATTTAAATTATTATATAATGGACAGTGATTGCGACCTGGAAGTACTTACACCTCCAGAAATAAGGGAGGTGGCAAAAAATATAGAGTTGAATTTGTTGCCAGAGAAGTCTCGAATGAAATATGAAGGAAATTATAAACGATTTATGGATTATTGATTTTGCTGATACATATCAATCAGCAAAGTAACCATTTTGCTGCCTAGGCGGCAAAGTACCCACTTTGCTGCCTAGAAAAGTAATACTTTGCTGATTGATATGTGCCAGCAAAATTAATATTTGCTGCCCATCGGAGAAAAAATATAGAGACTGAAGAAACAAGTGTACCTGAATTTGTGATGGACATAGAAGATAGTTTTCCAGAGTGTGGTGATCGGCAGTAAAGATAAAGAAATTTCAGTATCAAGGAAAAATGTGCAACTTGTAATATAGATATGGATAGTGATACTCAAGATAATGACTTGAAAATTATGGATTGCCATATAGATGTCCTAATTGGTTTTATCTGAAATGCTCCCCGTTTTAGGGTTATAATAATAATGATAATAATAATAAATGTTTTCATTGGACAGACATTATATCAGTTGATATATACAGGTTGAACACTTAATAAATGCCTGCCAAATGGCAGAGTTCCAATTGCCTGTGAAGACAGGAATTTGCTCTTCCACTCAACCATATATACATAACTATTTCGATGTAGAACACGGATAATTTATTCTGCGAAAAATAATGCTCAATTTTCAATTTTATGCTCGATTTCATATGAAATTGATCAACTCAAAGGTTAGTTATTAGTATAAATGTGATTTTAATAATATCGATAAGTTTATTTACCGTTCGGTTTCGATTGATAACTTGATTTATTGATGAAAATATAAGTACCTATACCTATAGCTATACTAAGATCATACATAGATCTGAGATTAACTGAAATTGACACATCAAAACAAAGTCATATATCAATATACCAATGAAAACCGTGTGATCGCTCGCTTAACGTACGGTTCTCCTTACGCACAGGAAATGATTTTGTGTACAATATTCATTATTCATCATTTATAATGAGTAGTGGTCGTAAGATATAGTTATTTATACAACAAGGTAGTAGGATATAAGGTCCCGTGGTGATAATATTCTTTACTACCAAGGTTTATACAGGTTTATATTGAATTTTTTTCACCTCTAACAATATAATTCAATCATTTTAGTTCTGTGAAATCGAAATATGGACCTTTTGTCACTATGAAAGCACTTATTTCCAATTCTTAGTCATGACCATAACAGCATATGAAAATAAGCTGTTATTGGTAAAGACCTACTAGATTCCAGTAAAATTTCTGCACCTTTCATTTCACTGATCAGAACATTGCATTCGGTTAATTACAACAGAGGTGGCTATGTCTTTATCGACTAGTGATTCATAAAATGACGAAAACTATAGTTTATCCAAAAACAATTGCAAAATCTAGTGCCGCACCTGCAGTCACTTCAAAGGAAACTTCGAACACGCCGACGCCGCACAGTGCGGAATATTCTGCAATTGATATTTAATATACCTTGGTAGTAAAAACACACTTTACGACTCGAAAAGGAGTAAATAATGGTATATTTTATAGCTAGTGGAAAAGAGGACATTTTTATATTCTTGTGAATTATTCTCCTCAGATGATGCTCGCCTTAGACTCTATACTATACCTTTTCAACTTCAATTTCGGAATCGGTAGATTATATTTCGGAAAAAGTAATCTCGATTTCAGAATTGGTTAGTTCGATTTCAGAAATGATAAACTCAATTTCAGAATCGGTGAGATGTATTTCAGGAAAAGTCCATTCAATTTC